CTTCACAAACATACAAATTTGAAATTTTTGTCCCTAAGGTGCATTCCTTATCATTAGACTTTAATCTGTGTACCTGTCTTAGCTACTTTTCTTGTTGCTGAAACAAAATTCCTGGCTCACAAAGTTCACAGAGGAAAGGTTTATTCGGTTCAGTTTGTGGAGGTTTCAGTCCATGGTCAGCTGCCTCCTAGTAGGGTGGCCCGGCAGAGGGACATGGAAGAGGAGAAACAGTCCACGGCAGGCAAAAAGAACAAGGCAGCCAACAGCAAGGAATGAGCCACAAGGAAGAACAGCATCCCTATTACTGCCTCTATCTTGTGTCCAGGCTACTCAGGGTGGCACTCATATCCTTCATCCTACCAGGGAACTCAGAGTCAATCCTACCCTCACATCCTGGACCCGGCCTCACACACCCATTTCTAGCCATCTCTGATAAGCCCCACCTAGGGCCACATCAGACTCTGGGGGTCATCTAGACACAACCGTAACCTACCCTTACTAATGCTCTGCTTTAACATGTTTGATATCAAGAAACTAAAACACACGTTGTCATATTTTATTCTTCACAGATTTCTGGCGTTTTTATCTGCCTTCCCCTTTTTTCTTTTGGCAGTACTGGACGTTGATACCAGGGCCTTCACCATTAAGATCCATCCCCAGCCTATTTAGGGTCTTGCTAAGTTGCCCATCCTTGGTACTAACTTGAAATCCACCTGCTTCAGCCTGCCACAGTGGTGTGATTACAGGTCTGTACCACTATGCCTGGCTCGTGATCCCTCTCTTGAAAATATCAGTATCCTTTTCTTTTCAATCACTGTTTTTGTCTCAAGTAGAAATGTATAAATTTAAATTACTAATATTTTAGCTGGGCATGGTGCACTTGCATTTAATCCCAACTACTTAAGTGGCTGAAGCAGGAGGAATGAAAGTTTGAGCCCAGCTTGGACAATTTAGCAATACCCTCCTCAAAGTAAAACAAAATCAAAAAGAAGAAAAAAAAAATCAATTACTATTATTATTTTCTAGTTTAAAATTATTCTCTTACTTTATGCTATATATTTATACCTGTTGTTATTTGTACATTTTTCTTATTTATTTTTCTTGAAAGTTTGGGTGTTTTGTTGGTTTTTGCAGTACTGACTTTTGAACCCAGGTCCTCATGCAGGCTAGGCAAGACGTCTACATTGGAGCTACATCCCCTGTCGTATTTTACTTTTTTTTTTTTTTTTTTTTTGAGTCAGAATCTTACTAAGTTGACCAGGTTGGTCTCGAACTTGGGAGCCTCCGACCTCAGCCTCGTAGGTATCTGGGATCATGGGCATGTGCACCAGGCCAGCTGCATTCTCTTTACTGTAGCCACATAAGGAATGTACACCTTACGTGTTGCAAGCATGTGCTATACAAAAAATGAATAAAAAGAGAATAGAGGTAACAAGAGTACCTCCCAGTGGTTTTGAGGATTAAATGAGGAGGTAAATGTCAGGGTCACAAAGGAGAAGTACCGGGAGGAAATACTGGTATGTAAGATACCAAAGCAGACAGAGGAAGTACATACTGAATATGCAAGAACAGTACCCCTACAGGAAGAACTGTCTCTTCAGATGATGTATCCTGTATCTGTCTCTCTGAGAAATTTGCAGTTATTTCCAGATAGCAGCTAAATGATGTTTCTGCCTAGGAAAGCCGTTTCGGAGTCAGCCCTGCCTACTGGCCCGGCCGATTCCCAGGGAGGGGCTTTTCATGTCTGCGACCCACGGTGAATCACCTGCCTTTCCAAGTTGTTTCCTCTCCTGTAAATCTGATAGCAATAGCACTTCCGGGGATTGCCTTTAAGATTATAAAAGAAGAAAAGTTAATGTAATCAATTAGTTTATTGCCTGACACAAAATAAATGGTTCGTTTTTACATCCTTCCACATACAGTTGCTCACTATTCCCTCAATACAAGTAGGGCTTTGCCAGTTTTCTCGTTTTTCTTTCGTTGTCCTATGCCCTTCGCCCGCGTGTCTCCCAGGTCTTCGGGGCTAACCCTCTCCTCAGCGAGTCTGCAGGGTTGCAGAGAGACGGCGGAAGCACCCAGGCGCACCGTCTGCCTCTGCCGGTTCCTGCTGTGTGACTGCTGGGTGCCCTGCCGCTTTGGGTCTCAGTCCCCTCTCTTACAAACGGGGTGACGGTAGCAACTCCTCCGCGGAGCGGCTGCACACAGGCTGCGGTCCGAGCGGCGGAAGGAGTCCAGGACCGCGCCCGCCTGAAGTACTGGATGCTCGCTCCCTCCGTGCCGGGGGTCTGCCCCCGCCTCGGGCAGGAGCCGCCGGAGGTGAGGACACATCCCCCACCCAAGGGGCCTGGAAAACACAGCGCGATGCCCCGCCCCACCCAGGTCGCCGGTACGCGGACGCGAGCAGAGGAGAG